CCACCCACAGATACAACTGAGGCACAGTAAAGACCAGACTCCACCCTCCCTGCAACCTTTCCTGAGCCTCAGCATTCAGCTCATGGTGATAGCAAGGCTTCTGCATCTCTTGCTGCCAATTTCTAAATCCTCACTCCGTGTAACTTGGTGTGTACCTGGGTATTCAGCCTCACCAGACTCCAGAGAAGTTGGTAATGAATGCACAGTGAAACTTCATAACAAACCAGCAATCTCAAACCTCTATCCAACAAATCAAAACCAGATTGAGACGCCACTTCCTACTTACGAAGGTGGCCAAAACAGAAAAGATGGACAGGAACAAGTGTGGGAAAGACTACAGAGAAACACAATCACATGCATTGTTGGAGGGATATAAAGGGATATAGCTACACTGGAAAAGTTTGGCAGTCCCTCAAAATGTTAAGTATGGAGATTACTTATGACCCAGTGATTCCACTTCTAGGTCTATATACCCAATAGAAGTGAAAACATAGAACATATGAAAACATGTGCATAAATGTTTGTAGAAGCATTATTCACAGAGTAGAAAAAAAATAAATAAAAGCAGCAAAGAGTAGCAACTATCAACTACTAACTGATAAATAAAATATGTGGTATAAGCATGCAATAGACTATTATTTAGCAAGAAAAGCAGTATTAAGTATTACAACATGGACAATACTGGGACATATTATGCTAAATGAAGGCAGCTAGTTAGAAAACAGCAGATAGCACATGCTTCTTCTTAGACTAAGTGGCTAGGATGGGGAAATATATAGAGATAGAAAGTACGTTAGTGGCTGCCTAAGAGTGCCAGGGATTGGGACACTGGGAAATGGGGATGAATTTTATGGGGATTCTTTTTGAGGTGACAGAAATATCAGGTTAAATTCTGTTAATTTCCATATTCTATACTAAATCCCACTGAATTATATGTTTTAAATGAGTGAAAATCTGTGTTATATGAATTATACCTCAATAAAACTTCTTTTAAAGAATATATTATTTATGACTTATAATCAGGATAAGTGAGATAACAAATGTGAAGCTATTCACAAATCAGCTGGCACACACATTCACTAAGTTAATACTATTCTTTCTGCTGTTATAATCATCACTACCTCCAGGCCAGAAAGTTGTTCTGTTCGATAATTTTTATTATCGAACAGAACTCTTTTAACCTTCCTTCTTCACCTTTAAAATGCTTTTCATTTTGTGTGTTAGAAAGCACCTACTGGCTACACATGTTTACATGGCTGTGAGCAGTGATCATAGCAGATATGCAATGTCAGTTTCCCAGAGACGCAACAGATACTGCTCATCTCTCTGTTTACGAGAGTCAGACTTCACCATGAAGACTGAGCTTGGACTTGGTTGTTTTGGAGATTCTTTCCCCAACCAGGAAGCCCCTCCAGGCTCTGCCCATGTCTGTATTTCTCCTAGTTTCACTGCACTGTAGTGAAATCAGCTCCTTGCTTCTCTCCTCAAGCACTGTCCTGGAGCACAGGGCCGGCGGGCTCCCATAACACGCAATCCGAGGGGCATTCTTTATTCACTGCATCATTGTGAACATAAATTCAAAGGCTGGGCTTGCTTTCTCTTTGCCTTTCTTCTTTATGGGTATTTAGAAACAATAAGTAGGATAATGCCACCAATGACTTTCACAGTTCCTCCAAGCCATCCTTGGAGGACTCTTAGCAAAATGTTCCCACACTCAAACTGACCATCGGGGTCTAGGGAATCTACACTTGGATTTGGAAATTGTGTTGCCTCACAAATATGACTGCTTCAATTAAATGATACAAGATATTACACTCGTTATAGTTTAGATTTTAATTGAGCCCCCTGCCCAAAGCCTCGTGTTTTCAAAGCTTGCCCTCCTGGGAGGTGTTTGGATCAACAGGGCTATTTCATCAGTGGATTATTTACTATGAGTTCATGCTGAATAGGGCTTGGTTGGAGGAGGTGGAGCACGGGGGATGTGACTAGGAAGCATGTATGCATGCTCTTTCTCCTCCCTTCTTTCTCTGCTTACTAGCTGCCATGAGGTGACCAGCTTTCCCCTACTATGCCTCTTTGCCACACCTGTTGTTTCTGCCTTGAGCTGGCTGACCATGAACTGAACCTAATGAAGCGTGAGCCAAATTGGACCTCTCCTCCTTTCAGCTGTGAGTGTCATGTATTGTGTCCCAGCAATGGGTAGCTGATATACCCAGAAGTGATGTATTTTTAAAGTTAAAAGTAGTGTTCTCACCACAGGGAGAAAATGAACCTTTTCCTACTAGACAGGATCCCGTCTTTCTCATGCTTTCCCCAGGGCTCTGCCACAGTGCACAGGTGAGAACCAAATGGCTGAGTACACATCTACACATAATTCCCTTTCTAACAAAGTTCTTAAGCTGTCTTCAGGAAAAGAAGTCACTCAAGGCTAGCTTGGAACCGGCTTTTAAAGAACAGAAATGCACAGCAGAAATTAGCTTTTTCTATCTATGGCCTTTTGATGTCATAAGCTTAAAGTCCCCTGAAAGAAACAGGACCTGTGAAGAGGCATGATCCCTGTCCACATCTGGGAAAAAGAGCCCCAAACACTCCACTCTTTCCACCGCCCCATCGCCACGCACCTCTGCCCTGTTCTTTCCGTAAATCCCATCGCTACCTACCAGCCCTGCAGGGATCCCCACTCAAAGCTCCAGCCAGGCCTCCTTGCCAGCTGACCGTGCAGTGAAACTTTTTCATTTGCAGAAACTTGATGCACGTCAGGCAGCGCTTGATACCAAGAATGGAACAAAAAATTCCATGGACTTCTGCCTCCCATGAGAGAACTGGGTCAATGGAGTCCAATCTGTGAGAAAGCTCACCTGAGAGCCAGGCTGTAGCTCAGTGGTAGAGCACTTGCCCCACATTTGTGAGGCTCTGAACAACATAAAAACAACAGAAAAGATAAAACCAGAAAATTAACAACAGCAACAGCAAAAAACTCAACTGAGATCTCCTTTAGACTTCAATTAGAACCTCAAAGAGCCAAAAATGGCAACGATAACAAAAAGGAGCTATACCCCACCGTAAAAGGTACCCTATTTTCCTTTGTATGTTAACAGATTTGAAAGATGAGGAATGGGGTCTTCAGGGAAGAAATAATAGACCTGACAGTCACTTAAGGACCCCATTCAATACTGTCATTATCTGGCTCCAGATAGAGGGCTTCTGATTCTTCCTTTCTCTCTGAAACAACTTTGGTTTGCTTCTCGTAGGCCAAATGCCCCCAAGTCTCTTACTCTGAAGGCTACTTGAGGTCATGTTTTTAATGACCATCTACAGATAAAATATCAAGGAAGCCAGAATTTGCATATTTGGAAGATTAATACAAATGTCTATCCCCATGACCACGGTACCAGATTCCACTGTTTATTGCCCAGAGGAGCCTCATGTTTTTGTTCTGTTTCATCCCCTTATCTGTCATGTACTTGTACACTCACAACTTCTACTGTTAACTCCCACCAAGTTTAATGACAGTCAGGCATCCTGAGCTTCTGCCAGCCAAGGCATTCTAGGACACAACTCTGCCACTGCAGGAGGCCGCCAGGGTCTTCAGTGGGCTTCCACACCTGCTGGGTAATGGGCAGCACTCTGCCCAGTCTTTACAGACTCGAAAGGTACTGACACACCTGCTACCACACAGATGGCACTGTGTCTGGTTTAAGAAAGCCAAGGAAGAGACATCTTAATTTAGTGCTTTACAAAAAGTGTTTTCATCCACTAACTACAGAAGACTTATTTTTTCCCCTTGGGAGACTGGGGAAGGAATTAGCACATTGACTTCCTGGTTAAGAGAACAGCAGTCATCACCAGCAAGAGTCTGTGTCCATTCTGCAAGCAAAAGCCCTTTAAAAAGCCAAAGAGAGGTGAGATCAACTCATATAAAATTCCTCCAAAAAAAGAATATTAATACTGCCTTTTAAAAATATTTTTTAAAGATTCAGTGCTTGCACACATTTATTTTAAGGAAGTGCTCAGAAATGAGCCTTCATCACCCAATGCCCTCACACATGTGTACAAATGCCTTAGGAGCTTTGGATCTGAAATCTCTCTTTCCAAAGAGGAAGGGAAATGTGAGACAGACTGGAAGCATTTTCTAGAGATGTCCTCAACCCCCACAGACCTATCTGGGGAACCTTTAACGTCGACAAGACCCAGAAGTATTCGGACCACACATTTTTCCCCCTGCTGAGCTATACTGTGCTCATGTGGGTCTGCAATTAATTCATGGCCAATAATCTAAGTCTCTCCTAAGCCTCCCTGCTAAAAATATGGAAATATTTCAAGAAAAGGAAGGAAACGCGAATGCACTGAGGTTTCCACTTGCATGAGTGGCTCAGTTTAGCCCTATGCTCTTTACTCTGGCCTCCCTGAAGAGTAGGCACCTGAGACATCTCAGCTAGGGGCAGTGTGTGAATCCTGTTCAGAAAGTGGGAAATGAACCAACAGAGTAACAGTCTGATAAGGCCAGCGATGCCCTAGCATGGATGAGCGTCCTAATCTGTTTCAGCATGATGAGAGCGACAGAAGTGAAGCACTCAAGTCCCAAGCCTCTGATTAAATAACCACACGGCCATCCCAGTGAATACTCTCTATGCACAGTGAAGACATCTCTCCCATTTCCATAATGGATCCCTAAAACAGACAGGAACATTTATGATGTTAATTTATTCAGACCTGGCCACCAGTTCTTATGTTCATGTTTCAAACAGAAATGCCCTTCCACAGTTCTTCTGGAACAACAGTCAAAGAGTGGGTGGGCTGCTGCTCCCAAACGGGCCTAGGTAGGCAGCACAGGACACTGGAGAATTACTTGGCAGTCGTTCACCTGTTCTTATAGATCAAAGACATGCACCTGGAAGTACTAGAAAAGCTGAAGATATTTTGAGAGAAACCTCTGGGAGCCCATCCTTCCCCCTCAATATCCCGCCCCACTCCTGGCAACAAGAGCCGCCTGCACTCACCAAGCCTTGGCAGGTGGAAAGGGCCACGGAGGCATTCCTGTGGGCCTGTAAGGAGCCCTGGTAGAAGCAGAAGTCCTCGGGCGGGAAGGTCTTCTCAGACTTGGTGCCTCCTTTCCCCAGCGTCTGTACCACGAACCCAGGAGCCACCAGGCCACTGGAGGCTGTGAGATCCATGCGGAAGTCATGCCTGGTGCCCTTGACCCGGAGGTGCAGGGCATCCTCGCCCTGCCGGGCCACTGCTCTTCGCCGCCGCTGGTGGTGCATGATTTCGTGGGACACGTAGTCTCCCCTGTGGTTGACCTCGAAGGCAGACACCAGATCATACTCTGAAACCAAAGGAGTGGGAGCAGCTGAGCAATCCCAGGTTCCGAAGAGTCAGGAAGTCTTACAATACAAGAGCACTTTACCATTTCCACCCGTGAGAAGTGGTGGAGGAAAATTCCGCAGACACTGGCCTCACCCTGAGGTGACTGACAGGACGGACACCACCAGAGAGCAAAGGAGACATCTCAAGGCGCCTGCTGGGTAAATTGCCACTGCCCCTCTGTATCTTATTACCAATCCAGCAAATGCCATGGCACTTAAAAGGGGAAAAATAAACCCAGATGACAGGCCAAATAAAACCCAAATCGGTCTTTCAAGAGTACATTTCATCAATTTTACCGATGGAGTAACAGTCACATGTAATCACTTCTGTAACTCGGAACAGTCCTTTAGCCATATTCTGGGACTTTTTTTTTTTTATAAACATCTTCATCAAATTGAAGAATTCTAGCTCAAAAATACCTTCATCTTTCAGAAAACAGTCTACAACACACTCAAGTAAACCGATTCTTTTTAAAAGGTAAGAGAAAGCCCAAATTGGCTCAGATTCCAGAGTGTATCCCACAGGGGTCCTACCAAGAACCTCTCGGTACCATATCCAGAGGCCTCACCCCCTCTGCAGAAGGTGGGGAGAATCAGGCGCTGCCAGGGTGCTGTGAGTCCTCGCTGTCTCCCTCATAGGGCCATCTGCCTGTCTAGACAACTATCTTTTCGCCTCACGTTATAGCCAGGATTTCTTTTCTCTACCACCGTCAGCAATACCCTCTCCACCCGCAGCGCCTGGGGAGGTCGTCTGGATGGGTGGAAGGGAAAGGGTTGGCCCCGTCTCCTGAGCTGCACTTTCTTATCTCAGCGGCAGAATTTTCAGCTCTGCCAAGGCTAGGGTTGCAGCGTGGCTCAGCAAGAGGTTTGTTAGCTCAGTTCCTGTGTTTTAAACCCTAAGGCACGGGGTACAAGCGCCTCCGACTGCTTGTGAGCACTGGGCCTGCACAAGCCACGAGAGGACCAGCTTGGTCACCTGTGCTCTTCCTAAGCCCCAAAGAGGCAAAGCTCAGCGTGATGCGGGTGATGCGGGTGATGCGGGCCTTGCTCCAGCCTCACTGCGCAGTTGCCTGAAGAGGACGCCGGGCCAGGCACCGGAGTGGGCTGGAGGGACCTTGCCCAACATCTAGGTGGACAGCTCCAGGCCCAACACATCCCCGATAGGAGCCCAGCTCTAATCCTCGGCCAACACCTGCACCTCCCCTGGGTCACCCACGTGTGCTCTCAGAGCTCGGTACTCTTAGCTGGTGAGTAACTGGGCCTCTTCTCTGCTTTGGTCTGGTCGGGCACGCTTTGGGGACTGTAAGATACAATAAAACCACCTACTTCTGTAAAGAGGCACTCAGTCAAATGGGGACCCTCACTGTAGGGGCTACTAGTAAGCCAATGGCAGTTGCTGTAGTGCTAGTGGTAGTGCTAGTGCTGTTAGCGTCTTTGGAAAAAAGCTTTTGCACAACTAAAACAGCTCAGACACTTGTCCACCGACCCGCTCTGTCCTGGCCGGTGTCTCCATGGTGGCCCAGGAACTGGTGGGCAGCAGCCCCTGGGCTGGGAGAAAAGGTGCTGTGGGTTTGGGCAGACGGGCGAGGGCAGCTGTGGGCAGCAGGCACTGCCTGGACAGCCCCGGGCAAGCAAGGACCAGCCCGGGAGGACGGCGCGGTGCGGCCCTGCCCCAGCGAGTCCTCCTCTCAGGGCCAGGACTCCTACGCCCTCCTTCCGGTCTGGAGCTGACCTGAGACCCCTGGGCCCCACGGGTGTGGAATGACACCTTGGGCCGCCTGGCCTGGTTGCGAGGCAGCAGGGGCGGACAACCTGACAGCAATTGCTGAGGTCTGTACCAGGGCAGGCAGCGTGTGGGCAAGAGGAGATGTTCTAACCAGGAGACGAGAAAGCCAGACAAAGCCATCTGAAGTGCAGACTCAGGGAGAGGATGGGAAACACGAGGCTGCCTCAGGTTGTGAGCACGTGGGTCCTCTGCCTGTCCTCCTGCCACTCCCGAGAGGGAAGGGAGGGCACCCACCTGTGCTCTGGAGCGCTTCCCCAGGGTGATTTCTGTCCTCGTCCTCCCTGGCCTTCGGGACTGGAGGGAGGCTGGCTCCAGGTCCTTGGCCAACAGCCCTGTTCCTCTGGATTCTGGGGAGTCTCTGACTCCTCATCAGCCCCTTCCCCTCTCCTGGCAGTGGGGTGCTAGCAGAAGGTTGTGGAGCTGTTCCAAACTGTGGCAAAACAGCAGCTTCACCGCACATAAAAAGGTGGCCGCTTTTAAAAACTCCAATTGTGCCCCATGACACAAGGCGCATGTCATGACCTTTATTTTCAAGCAGATAATATTCACCCTTTGGTGGGGGCAATAATATTTACCCTGCACAATAACTTCTGATAAACCTCCATCACACAAACACATTGTTGTGCTGATAAATGTTTTTGACAACCGGCTACTCGGGGAAAATGACCAAGGTAGCATTGCAGGATACGGACGGGAAGAGCCAAGCAGTCGTCTGGCCCTGCAGTGGACACTCGGCACTGTCTGGAGAGGTGTTGGGCTGTCACAAGGGGAGAGGGATAAGGATGTCCTGCAATCTCGTGGGCAGAGGACCGGGCTGCTGCTAAGCATCCTGCAGTCTCAGGAGGGCCCAGAACGTCACTGCCACCCTGGTGAGCCTGAGGCAAGACACTTACCCAAGATTCACATCAGTAAATGAATGTGAGAAAGGGTCACAGGTGACGAATTCAGGGAATGAACTAAGAGCTCGTGCTCGCCACACTCAGTATCTGCAGAGAAGTCCAAGTACAAGGGCAACAAGCTGAAAAACAGAAACTCACTGCAAGCTTATGTTTTCAGATTGTAATTCCCTAAACCAAGGGCTTGCGATTTTAAAAGTAGTGAAATTTCTGCTGTGTGAGAATCCTTTAAATAAGACTTTAGCCCCCTGGAGAGTCTGTAATGAGAAGAAGCACCACAGCGATGACTCAGCTCAGTACTGGACCTGCTCCATCTCAAGGGTCTTCCGAGCACAGCCTCGAGTCCAGGGAGATGCTGGTGTCCAAGTGGGCACACGAGGTGCCGACCCACAAGCGAGCACACTGGGCCAGAGGAACCAGCCACTGCTTCACCCCGTGCTCTGTGATGTGGAATGGGCAGGATGGGGTGTTTGCACCCCAGGAAGCAGGGGGCCTTACAGAGCAGGGCCTACCCAGTGGCCCGCCACGAAAGCCTGTGGCACGGAGCTGTCTGTAGATATCCGAATGTAAATCACTGGAACTATTCCTGCGCGTACATGCACACACCCCTCCACACATCCTTTGTGTCCAGTTAAATAAAGTCCTAAAGAATTTCTAACCTTGCACTGAACTTACTTTGAGATTTCAAAGGTGAAATCTGCACTATGTCTTTGGGCTTCAGAGGAACCACTGATTTCCTTACAAAGATGTATCTGTAGGAAAAACATCCAAGTTTCCCATGAAGGACTACAAAGCCACGCTGAATCAGCAACATGGCGCGGAATCTGAACACAGAACTTGTAGTTACCATCACCGCCTCTGAGGAGCGTGGAGCTCTTTGCTGCACGAATACTTCAGACACCCAGCAAATCTGCAGTAACTGTGGAAATGTTACTGTAAACCATCATGGCTCCAAAGTTATTTCAAAACCAGCTCGAATCAGGGGTGCCTAGGCACCCAACAGGGAGCATGCCCCGTGGTGACGCTGGCCTCAGTACTCCAGGTCTAAAGGGACAGCCGTGCTGAGCAGAGTCCTCCCGGTGGGTGTGGGAACAAGGGCCCCACAGAGCCCACAGTAGCAGTGGAGTTCTCCCACAGTTCAAGGGCAGGCTGGAGAGCAGCACGCGGTGTTCATGAAGCTAGAACTTCCGGGGCAGGGACACACACTCCCGCTTCAGGTCCTGAGCCCCCCAGGTGTGAGGGTGTCCGGCCCAAGACACAGTGCCCGCCCGCGACACCAGCAGAGATGCCAGGTGAGGGGAGGCCCCAGCAGCCGCTCAGCGCACACAGGTAAGGCCGGCCCTGCCCTCCGCAGGAAGCTGTCTCTTTCTTCCTGAATGGTCCTGTCTGTAAGACTCCGAACCTCAGCAAAATCTCCTCATTGCTACAGTGTCTGAGATTTCCTGAGCCCCTCTGGAATTCTCTTGACTTTATTCTAAAAGTAGACCTTCTTAAAGATGGGAAAGTGACTGGATTATTAGGTTGCATTTAAGAGAAAGGTTAAAGGAGAGGGGGACAACAACAAGCAAGCGAACTCTAAGCACAAGCAATTGACTTTCTCTCGTAAATAAATACACAGCCGAAATGCTTCCTAAACATTCTTACTGCTTGTATTTAGCGCCCTCTGGCGGTGCTCAAGCAGTCCTCGGGTTAGCACCAATCTGTCTGTCGCTTCTCACTTTCTACAGCTCCTTCAGTAGGGGAGTTTCAAGCTAGCGCACGTGTGGAGCCCGTATCTTCCTGTCAGCCCCTCAAGACGAAGGAACCGTATCAAAGAGCTGTGAATTCTTCACTTTGCAATTTCCTAGGTTTTCTGCGCGAGCCAGTTCTGCAACCGTCGATGCTGCTGACGTTGCAGGTGGGACTCACCGTGGGAAAGACCGGAGTAAGAATACTCAGCGATCGCCCGCGGGCTGGGCTTGACTAAAATCCTGGCTGCCACTGCCTCGCACCTGCTGTCTCTTTCACCTGTGCAACGGCGCGACCCAGGTCCACTCCCGGGACCGCGGGTGACGAAGGCCGCCGGGGAGCAGAAGAGAAGGAAGCGCGCAGGGGCCCGGCGGGATTCACCGCAGCCCCCAGGGCCGCGCGCTCTGCTCCGAGGCCCCCAGGCGCTAAGCGCCCCTCGCACGCATCACGGTTTCCACTCCGCCTCGTTCTGAGGAGCCCTAGCCCTGACCCAGACAGCAGTCCCAAGAGAAGCCGGGCCTCTGTCCGGCTCCGAGGGTCCGCGCGCGACCTTTGATTTTAGGGTAAAAAGCACCAGGGCGGGAGGGGACGGAGGGGATCTGCTCTCCGCAGGGACCCCAGGCACACAGTACCGCACCGGGAGTCCAGATTCGTCCCAAGACCCTTCAAGTTTCAAAGATGAAACGCACTTCCTAGACTTTTCCCAACTGCGCACACGGTTCCTGCTCCCCGGTAACGTGCGGCCCGCGCTGGCTGCGTCGGCTCGCGGGCGGGGGGCGGGCCCCGGACTCACCGGCCTTCTCCTCCCAGCCGGGCGGCTGCTCCGGGGCACGCGCAACGCCTGGGCTGCGGGGCACGGCCGCTTCGGGTCCCACGGCGCACGCAGGTGCCTGCGGGGAGAGGGGGCGGTGAGCGCGGCTGGGCGGACGCGGGGCGCACGCGGGGCGCACGCGGGCGCACAGACGCGGACTCACCTGCGCTCCGAGCTGCGATAGCAGCAGCGCCCACAGCGCCGCGCGCCCCGGGGCCCGCAGACGGCGCTCGGCCCGCGGCATGGAGCACTGCTCGCTCGCTTGCTGGCCCGTCTGGCGCGCAGGGGACGCGGGCAGTGCGGGTTCTGAGGCGCCGCGCGGTTATCACTGCCGGCCGCGCGGGGGGCGGGCTGGGGACCTGGCGGGGAGCGGAGCCGCAGGGCGTGGGAGGGGGGAGGAGGGGAAGGGACGAGGGAGGAGAGGAGGCGGGAGCGAGCGAGGGAGGGAGGCGGAGGCTGCGGTGGGTCGAGTCCTTTCCGCGTCCCGCACCCGCAGAGGTCGCCCTCCGCTGGTCGGGGTGGGGGACGCCCGGCTGCACCCCTGGGACCCAGGGAGGCGGCGCATGGGCGTGGGGTTCCCTCTGCCGCGCTCAGGCTCCTGCGGAAGCCGGGCCACCGGGACGGCAGCCTCCGGGGAGGCCCGGGGGCCCCGCGGGTCACCTGCCCGCCGTGTGGGCGGAGGAGGCGTGGGTGCCCAAACTAGCCTTGGAGCAGGTGGAAGCCCCCCCCCTCCACTGCCTTCCGCACCCTGCCGTGCCCTGCATGTGACCGCACGCTGCCATCAGTGCCCGCTCGTGTGCCCAGTGTGTGTGCACGCGTTTACCTGTGCACACGTGTGTACATGTGCACGCGTGTGTGTGAAGTCGCCCCTCTCCACTGGCTGCGCTACCCCCTCCAGACCAGCCCCCTTCTGAGGACTCAGGCTCCTGTGCCTGTGAGCTCAGGGTCCTCAGGGTCCTCAGGTCCCCGCAGGCCCGCAAAGTGCTCATCACTTGGAGAGAGGATGCTGCGGAGCTGGCAGTTGTGCCCCCTCCTGTGCCCAACAGGCAAGTGCCTTGGAGAGGTCCGAGGAAGTGTCAGAACCCCGGGCAGAACAGCACGTCCACCTGACTTCCTCTCTCTCACTTGAAAATATTAAAATCTTCTTTTTATAAAGCACATTTGTAAGCCAGCCTTAGTGGTTGCACCCCTGTCATCCCAGCACTCTGGGAGGCTGAAGCAGGAGGATCACAAGTTCGAGTCAAGCTTGTGCAACTTAGGGTCTTGGCAAGACGCTGCACAGAGGGGCCAGAGAACATTTTTATGCAAAGAGCCAAAGCGGAAATGGCTTTAAACCCGGGCGCCTCCCCCATGCCCTGCAGGAGTCACCTCAGTTTCTACCTCCCCAGATTCACCCTTAGGCTAAACAAGAGCCAACCGGCATCACTCAGGCCTCAGATTTCCAGGACCAGGAGGCAGCGCTCCACTGCTGGAGGCACATAGGGCACAGTGATGGCTACAGTGGCCCAGAAAATGCGGCACTGGGGGCACAGTGTAGGGGAAAAGACTGCACACCTTCTGTGTCCCTTCCCTCCCAAGTGAAGAAGAGACCCAGTAACCCAGGAGGCACCTTGTGGGCTGTCAGAGGCCAGGCAGGTGTAGGGCCGGTGGGTGGGGAGTGAGGGATGTCGAGGTGGGGTGCAGAGGAAGCCGGACTGACTGTGGCATGGGGAGCCAGCCCTGCTGTCCTGCATTGCTCCTGGCTGGTGGCACTCCCTTAGGCATCCAGGGACCGGAATGCAGGGGGTAGGGGGTACGCTCCCTGGGAAGAGTCCAGATCCTCAGCAAGCACGAGCCTGGTGCCACCACAGGAGGCCTCTGCGGATGGCTGTGGAGCCCCTGAGCCCTCCCGTGGGGGTGCACAGCACCACGGAGGGTCCATCAGCAGAGCCATGTCCTGAGTGGGCCGGGCCTGCACACCTGGACTTGTGGAAGCTCCGGAGACAATTCCATGAGTCATGGATGTTGAGACCCAGTTTGGACACAGTCACCCCTGGTGGCTCCCGTGGAGGAGCTGGGAGGGTGACAGGGGACACTGTGTATCTGTCCGGGTTCTGCCCACTGCCGTGTGCCCAGGCTCGGGGACAGTGCCCTGCCAGGGAAGGACACTTCGTGCTTTATATCTGGATGTCCTCCAAAGCCTCATGAGGGCAAAGCAAGTGACTTTGGTGAAGTGAGTAGGTCCGGGGCTCTCAGCTGACTGCCATGAGGTGGGGCCAGGGCAGGAGACCTGGGTCACTGGGGCGTGGCCTCCAGGGCCCATCTCCCTCCCCGCTCCTCCCTTGATCTCGCTCACTTCCCGTCCAGCATGCTGTGAACACCTTTCTTCCTTCCGCCAGGCCTCTCTGCCATGTTGTCCTGCCCTGGAGCCAACTGTGGACTCCAACGTGAGCAAAATAACCCTCTCCTCCTTTTACGTGGCATTGAGTCTTAGTGCTGAGAAGATTGGCTAAGGCAGGGCCCCACCCAGAACTGTGTGTGTGCACCCTGCCGTGTGTGGATTTGAGTGTGCATGCAAGTGTGCAGGTGTGGGTGTACGGTTTTCCATAATTGAAGGTGAGTTATCGAGTGATGCGCATAGTGCGCGGCTATTGCAATTTTTAAAAATCCGAATAGAACTTTAGAGAGGAGGAAGCGTGGCAGTGCCTGGTTGCAAAGCAGAACCTCCTATCTTGCGGTGGAGCGCATTTTCTGTTGTTGCAGGCCTGACTCTAAATATAAAGGGAAAATGTATAAGGAAAAAATACAATTTGAAAAGCAAATTTAATCTGAATGCAATTTAGCCTAAATTTAAACTGAATGCAAATATAAAAGGAGACATGTAAAATTGGTACTGGGCTTTACACACGGGCTGAGCAGGCGAGATGCCCCAGAGCTGAAGTTCCATCGGGCTTGTGGGCGTGTGCATGCACATGTGAGGGTGCTCCTGGCCTCCTGCCCATCGCTCCCCTCCTTGTTCACCCGCAGTTGGCCCTGATGGTCAGCGCATCACAGCGCGCTCCACCCCTCTCCACCCCTTAACCAGGTGTGCTGCTGGAGACGGAGGCTGAGCAGCGCCTGCAGGTGAGAGGAGAGCAGCCGCAGGCAGGTGTGCGAGATGCTCACTTGGTCCTGTGGCAGCTGAGGCCTCCGCTCTCCTCCACTCCTGGTGCCTCCCAGGGTGGGAGCCTCCATTCCAGGTACTGAACCTGCTCCGGAGGCTTCATCAGCGCTGTCTCCCACTGGCAGCCCCTCCAGGCTCTGCCCACTTTAGCTCAGCACACGCTAACCACAGACGTTTCAAAAAGCCAGCTGTGCTCTCTGTTTGGGCGGATGGCAATTGTCAGTCCCTTCAACGTCCAGTCAAGCATTTGTAGAATTATTTGGTGGGATTTACTATTTGAAGGAACTCTGCCTAATCCTCAGTGTGTTTTGCTGTTAATGGTCTATTGTGTTTCTTCTTTCTTCTTGAGCCACTTTTTAAAAATTTATGTTTACCTAGAAAAGAGTTTCTTTCATCAAAATTCTCAGTCATTTTAGGATATTTTGCCTGCACACACGTTATCAGTCACTCATTAATTGTGATTAATTCAGAATAGTTATCTGCTTAGAGACTCCCCTGGGAGGTCCCTCTCTTGGTTAATCTGTAACTCAGTGGTGAAGCCAGACACTGAACAATTACATTCAACATTTTGCTGGTTACCTATTAGAAAGAAATAGAAAAATAGAAGGGGTGGTGTGAATTCTTACTGTACATTGTAATTATTTTATTGTTTTTGGATTTTAGGGTTTTTTTTATGAATACAGCTATTATTTGGACTACTTTGGAATAACTTTGCCAACATATGATAATACTTTTTAGTGAAAATGTAAGGTCTTTCCTATTTATCATTTATGTTTGTAGGTCTTTTAGTGGATTCTAGTTTTTTAGATATATATATATAAAATATAATACAATGTGTAATATATGTTATATATATTGTTTGGAGCACAGCCATCCCCCATTACCCTTCCTTATATCCCCATTCCCCCTTGGATCCCCTTGCTAATAATCTTCCTTCTGCTTTCAGGTCATCTTTTTGTTTTTGCTTTCTTTAGGATTCTACACATTGGAGAAAACATGCAATATTTGTCTTTCTGAGTCTGCCGAACCCGAGCCATTTGGCTGAACATGATGAAGAATCCCATGCATTTCCCTGCACCTGACATGATTTCATTCTTATTTTGGGCCTAGTTGTGGTCATTCTTACCTGCATTTCCTTCATTGTGGAATCAGTTTTCCCCCTTGAACAGTTCCTAACTGGGGACTGTGCCTTGCAGGGTCAGTGTGTGTTTGATGTACCCGTATATCCCTTTTCCACAGCCCTCCCACCTCCTCGCCTCTACTCCCCTGTCCCAGTTAAATCCCTGATGCTGGGTGTCGAACTCCACTGGCCATGTCCTGGCTTTGTCTGCCTCCTCCAGAGTCTGCATTCTGTTTCATTTGAGTTGGAAACCAATCATCCACGTGCTCTGTTTTCCATAGTCGCCATCTGCTGCGTCCATTGATCTTTCTCCACTTGCATTTCCTCCTGTTCTTAACCTTTCCATAAGGTTCATTTTCTGATTCTTCAGAGTGCTTGTAACTCTACGTAGTATTTATGCAGCTCTTTCTGCATGTTTAGCTCCAGTGACCACTAAGCATTCGTTAAATGAGTAAATCATTCTCTCTATATTTTCACCTCTATTTTCCTTTGCTATTTTTCCTGCCTCTGTGCTCGGATTTCAGTAAGCTCAGTCAGCACAAAGAAGAACTTGCCCAAGGAATGAAGGACGGGGGGTGGGGGTGGGGGTGGGGGTGGGTGCTGAGGACAAATGCAGAACAGAGTTGAAGTGGAAATATCCCTAGGGCGGGGTGCTGGGGACACAAGCTGCATACTGGACAGTTTATTTCTGCTCCCTGCTTTACCCAAAAGTCAACGTGGAATGAAAACTGCAAACCACAGGACTTTTCTCTCTGAAGCATCACTGCTGGTGGAGAAGTCTGGTGGTGAGTTGGTTCAGGATTTTATCAGTGACCCATCTCACTTGCCAGATAATCCTCATAGGATTTTCTCAGTTTTTGACCTTGTGTTTTTTGGGACCTGTCTGGCTGTGTAATTTGTCATTAATTCTGCCTGGAACATCCTGAACTCTTTTGAACTCTGTGCTCAGGTCTCTTTTTCCACAGCTTTGGAAAGATCTACATATTTATGTGTTTATTGTTGGAGAGATATAATATTAAATGAGTAGCGCAGTCTTTCACATTAAAGAACACAAACTGAACTGAGATTTTAGATATCTGCCGTATCTTAGTTACTTTCTCATCAGTGGACCCTATACCAGACAGCCACAGCCCTAAGGAGGAAGGGTTTATTTCAGCTCACAGTTTGTAGAGGTTTCAGTTCATAGTCGGCTGGCTCCAAGGCAGGGTGGCATGGCAGAGGGCCATCACAGAGGAGAAACAGTCCATGGCAGGGCAGCAGGAAGCAGGGAGAGAAATAGGGAGGAGGACAGAAGATGACCTTCCCGGTCATGGCCCAGTGACCACCTCCTCCAACCAGGCTCCACCTCCCAACATCACATCCAGCTATGAACTCACCAGTGGGCCAATCCACTCATGAGTGGTCCCCCATGATCCAATCACCTCCCAGAGCCCCACTATGAGCACATGAGGTGTTGGGGGGATGTCTAGATATGAACCATAACAAAATGAAACTCTAAAAGGACAAAGACAACTGTTGAAAGAGTATCACATATGTACTTGTATATATAACTAAATAGGGTAGATAAAATTATATGTGGCATATTCCATAATAATTTTAAGGTTAAGAAAGGGAAAATAGGGCAAAGTAATGAAGTTAAATTCTACCAAAATTCTCTCTTCCTTGGAGGATTTGCTTATACTGTTGAATTCATGAACTTGAAAACTGGGGAAATGAGTTAAATTCTTTTTAAAAGTTAAAAGTAAATACCGGTGGTGAAAATATTCAACATACAGGAAAAGAAAAGTGAAAAGATTTGGGTGGTTTGGAAAGAAAAATGTAGAGGGTAGCAACAGAGAGATGAACATCGGAAATCACAGGCATGAACAGAGATGGATAAACATTGTAACCTGCTACATGTAATGGGTTAGAGTTGGTGATTACAAAACAAGGTCTTAAATTTTGTTTGAAAAGTGAAATGTAATTGTATATTCAAACAGACTTACTGCCAAGGAATTGAAATATTGAATTAAACAATTATTAAATTAATATTAAATTGAGTTAAAATATTTTTCAGGAAAAGATAATAAAATGGAAATCAGGGTATGACCCTGAACACATTTCTTAATTTCCAAAGTCTGTATGTTCCTACCTGTGTCATGGGCAGGATAAAAACAGAGTCTACATCCATGCGTTGTTACAGGGATGGATGATGTTAAAATTTACATGAAGGTTAGAACTGCACATAGAAAGTAGAAACTGTTATAGAAATTTAAAATAACTTTAAGTACAAATTTAATAAAATAAATGTGAAAAAATAGTTGGGAACATCAGCCTAGTAAAGATTGAATTCAGCATGGACATTTCCTTTGCCCTAAAGATTACTTCCAAATCCACTTGATTTCCAGAGGAAATAGTTTCTGTGATCCTTCCAGGGTGAAGATTGTATCTCTTGAACACAATCTAGCATTCCTGCAGCCGGAAGAGCAAGCCCTGCTCAGCAGATGCAGGTGTCAAGTCTGATTCATCTCTCCCAGGTCGCGTCTCACTTGTGAATGCCTTGAAGGAATGGAAACGCTGCCCATTGGATTCACACAATCATGGGAGACAAGAACCTGGGCTCACACCGCAGAGGCATCCAGGAAAGGCCTGAGTGATTCCCAGGGAACAACCCTGTCACCGTGATGTTGAGATCCCATGTAAGCTGCACTGTGCTGGGTCAGATCTGGTGGAAACCTTGACACAGATGGATATCAAATCACCACCACCAGTTTTGAGCAACTGAATTCAGCTTTTTCCAGGAGATAAATAAAATTCAAGTTCCCAAATTATGAAATTCCAAGTTAGGAACCAGATGATGCTATTTCACAGACTCAGATCAGACTATTTCTAATTGCATTATTCATGTCTCGTTCATGAGGAAAGCTCATTATCTACAGCATGGCTAGAAAAATCAACGCCTGATAACTAAGCCATTATTTCTTGTGAGAAATTGAACGTCAAATCTTGACACCCAAAAGACTGAAACAAAAGCTTCTCAGACTCTCCAGCTTACTGTACCTGTGCCCTCAAAAGAACGGATGAATTTGACTCCAGTTTCCTTCTGAAACATTCTTCTGCCAACTCTGTTTGATGTGTGCACAAACTTGCTAAGGTCCTGTGATGAAACTTGGGGTTTGGAGTAAATACGTAGTAGTTAAAACACAGTAAGTCACTGTTAATGTGGAGCATCTGTTTCTTTTTTTTATTTTTTATTTTTTTGGTACTGGGGATCGAACTCAGGACCTTGTGCTTGCAAGGCAGGCGCGGAAACCACTGAGCTAAAATCCCTGGCCCCGAGCATATGTTTCTTAAATGCCGTCTCACTCAAATGTGTGACACCCACTTGGCAGGGGCAGACCCTCCCTCTGAGAACCACTAATTGAGACACTGAAAACTCACACATCTAAAACGTTAGTTGGCACTGTTGATCGGGCTGTCCTGGGCAACATTATTCTTTTTGTCTGTTTTTTGCAGGTGTTCATCTGGTCTCATGTGCCTTTCTAGGACGGCTGTCATTCTGCGTCCTATAGCTCCTCACCCTGCGTTACTTTCTTTCTTGCTCCTCCACTACTTGGTCTCGTGTCACCATGGTTGGCTCCTGCTATGGTTTAGATCCAAGAGGCCCCTCAGCCATCTGTGTGCAGAAGGTGACTGGATCGGAGGGTGCTGTGCCTGGTGTGCTGTTGGGAGGCGGGTCTGGCTGGAGGAGATGTGTCCCAGGGTCACCTGGAAGGGTCTGTCACCCTCCCCTGCCCTCTCTTGAGCTTTCTGTTTCCTGGTGTCCATGCCGTGAGCAGCTCTCCTCTGCCCAGGGCCTTCCACCATGCCTTCCAGCCGTGGGGCCAGTCAACTATGGACTAAAAATGGAGCCAAAAGGAACCTCTCCTCCTTTGAGGTATGGGTGCCAGGTATGGAGTCCCAGTGACAAGAGAGTGACTAAGACAGCGGCTGTCTGTCACCCTCAACCCCCTACTCTGAGCAATGCTGCTCCACAGGCTGTGCCTCTGGGTTCGGGTCGCCCAACATGTGGCAGGGAGCACCACATGACTACCTGCATGGTGGAGGAAGCTGACGAGCATGTTCCCTAGCCCCTTATTTGATATTCAGAAAACCTGAGGCTCTGGAGCAGTAATGGAGGAGCCCACCGCTTCCAGGCAGTTCTCCAGCATCTCACACACTGACAGGGTGGGGCTTTGGGGGCCAGCCTGCTCCGGTGTTTCAGTGTGGAGATGTTTTGCGCAGACACAGGCTGGCATGGAAGAAGCTGTCCCCCAGTGGAACACAGACCTGTGACCATTTGTCTCCATGCTCTCTCTCGCCCACTCACTTGGCAGTGAGCTCAGAGAAGAGAATTTGGCCCTTTGTGTTTTAGAACGTGATCCAGAATTATGCCTTGCGGTTCCAATTATGAGAGCATATTTTATATTCTTTGGGGCTCCTCTTCATTGACCATGCTTCGGGGCAGGCTGACTAAGGAGGCAGAAGCGCTGATCTGCTTCCAGGACAGGACCAAAGCCAGGGAGGCCCCAGGGGACAGCGGACCTCAGTGGGCACAGGGTGGAGCTGGGATGGCTGCCCCTTGGGTTCAGTAGCAGCAGCAGGGGTGTGGGTCCGGTTCTGGTTCTGGTATGGATGCCGAGTGGGAGCAGGGCTGGTCCGATCCTCCCCCACCACATGCTTGTCACATGCAGAGTCACAAAGGGGCTCCTGGGGGGGCACTTGAGAGCACTCTGCCCGCTTTCTTCCCAATCCCCACTCAGATATCCCAGGGGAAGAAAGAGGCATGGAGAAAACTGGGTGTGTTTCATTCGTCTTCCTTTCTGGGAGGATGGAAGTTCATCTCCTCTGCAGACACGCGGAGTGGGTCACCAGGGCCCGGGGAATGCAACTTCACCCTCCTCTGACCCAGTAGGATTCACATTAGGCTTGTGGCCACTGTGCCTGTGGCTGTCGCAGGACAACGCTGGATGACTGTCCGATGCTAGAAGCTGTTCCTGACATCCGCACTGAGTCCCTAGTGAGGCTTGCTGAATAGCTCATCTAGGGTATCAACTTGATTGTCTCAAGAGCCTCCTCCGGGATTAGTGCAGCACACTTCTGGGTGTACGTGGGTGGGTCTTGGGTGGGTCATCTTGGAGGCTACATCTGGCCCCTGGTGTCTTCTTCTCTGGTGAATCCCCCTCATTCCTTCCTGGGTTCCAGGAGGTGAGCAGCTCTCCTCCACCACACCCTTCCACCATGATGTTCCTGCCTTGGAGTCAGCCAACCATGGACTGAGTCCTCTGAAATCCTGAGCCAAAGTAGACTCTCCTCCTTTAAGTTGTGGGTGTTGGTATTGTGTGCCAGCAACAAAAAAATGACCAATATATGCACTAATTAAATTTTCTCTGTGTTCATCAAGGTCCAGTCAGGAGGCAGAAACCATCCTGTGGTTTGAACAGAGGAAGTTTAACGTAAGAAGTGATTCAATTCTAATGGAGAAGCTAGAGATGTGAAGAGAACTCTACTCATTCCCCCTGTGCCCAGGGGAGGCCAAGGAAAGACGCACTGGAAGGGTCCCCTCCTCAGGGTCAGATTCTCACCTCCCCACAGAGGGCGTGGGTGCAGCCCCCTGAGGTCCAGGGTCTGTAGCTAGCACTGTCCAGGCCAAGGTGCTGGCCCTGCAGTTGAGCAGGTCCCGTTCCCATGGGTCTGTTCATTAGTAGATCTGGCAGCCCTGTGTGGGAGATGCTATGTCCTATGCTTCCCAAACTGAAGGCATAAGGTGTCATTCTAATTTGTAGCCTTGCCACTTCACCCCATAGTTCCCACATCTGTCCTTCCTCTGTGCAGAAACAGCAAGCAATCATGGTGCCACTAGGAGGCCCTCAGTGGGTGTGAGTTCAGCTGGTGTGCAGTGTGCCCCGTCCTCCTGAGTGTCACTCAGAACCATAGGAAGAGGGGCACAGTGTGGCTCAGCCTGGCCCTGTCCCTGGGCTGCCCCACCTCAGGGCTCAAGGGCTCTGGAGCAGATGGCTTGGGTGCAGGTCCTGGCCCTCGGACTCCCTGGTGGGTACTGGCAAGTGGGCCTACTTCTGTGGGCTCTGCTTTCCTTCTGTCTAAGCGTGTGGAGATGCTGATGCCCAGCACAGCTGGAGTACAATCTGTAAGCACTGGAGTGCTGGACCTGTCTCCCGGGGCTGTTGCCACAAAGGATTAGGAACCTGGTGTTTCCAGACAACATACCTGCAGCCTCTAACAGACCTGAAAGCAAAGTCCAAAATGAGCAGCATAGGAGTGACACCAAGATGCCTGCATCTCCCTCTGTCTCCCTTTTGAGGGGACCCTGAGGTTGGGTTTGTGGTCTGTCCAGATTATCCAGGATAATCTCTCAACTCAAGAGCTCTTGTCCTAAAGGCTGACACAGCTTCCAAGAAGCAGGATCTGACATCTTGCTACATGTGTGTTCACTGTTCTTTCCAGTGCCCATCTTTCAGGAGATGTGGCTGGGAAAAGAAGTGACCCCCACGCTGTAAAGCTGAAGATGGCTCCTACCCACCTGCATCCGGGGAGCTTTCCCTGGGCTCCAAAGCTTTCACCAGAAACATCATTCCTGATTCAGCACCTGCTTCTGTGCTCGGTGCCTGCCTCATCCCACCAAGGTCAGCTCCAGGGGCCGATCTGGCAAGTTTGTGGCCATCTCCGGGGTGCAGGGGTCCCACGCTGGCTGAGAGCTAGGGCGCACCTGGGAAGCCAGTGCGACCCCGCAGTCCACTCCCAGCACAGCCTGCTGCGGTCAGCCCAGCAGGGCGGGAGAGCAGGGAGCGTGGGTCCCATTCTCCCTTCTCCTCCCAAGCTTGGGGCTTGGCAAGAGCTGTGGCCATGAGAGTCCACCCGAGTCAGCTTTATCGCGGCAAAACCTGGGGAGTCACCAGTGAGTGGTCACAGTCAGTCCTTGTTCATGCTTATCCCCAGGACTGACCTGCTCCCTGTCTCTGTCCCCCCCCCCCCCGTCTCACACACACACACACACACTCGAATGCACGCGGATGGTCATAGGGCATAAGCTCCCTGGAGACCACCAGCCCCGGCTGGGGAAGGGAGGGAGCTCTCGGGGTGCAGGGTCACTGCCCAGCTGCCTGCGGCCTTCAGCAGCCAGGTCTCCTCACCCGGTCCTGGGAGGTGAAGGGGAACCCGACAGAATAAGGCACTGATGAGCTGCTTGTTTCATTTCAGGCTTAACTAATGCGTGTGGGGTGGAAGTCCAGATGAACCATTGCTCAGTTTTGTTTTCTGTTGTTATTGCTGACAGCTTGAGATAACGAAGCCTAAGTGGAGTTTGGATTCGGAGCATAAAGAAAAGCGCTTTCTCCCTGTGCACTGTGGGAGCTGCTGATCCAAGCCTGCTGCACCGGGTGAGCTGGCGCGTGGGCTGGCGGGGTCACAGCGTGCGTGCGCCTGCGCGGTGACCGCATTCCGAGGCCCTGCAGACGGGCAGGTGTGGATGTGCACCTGGACAGGGGAGGAGGCGAGACCCTCTGCCTTAGCCGTCACTGTCCGTGATGCCCCGGGGGTGCTTCTCTAGAGTGTCCCCCTGTGTCTTTGGAGTATTAATAGACGTGGTGGGGATGTGCTCACATGTTTGCTCACTGACAGTTTTTGTTTTAAATACTGTGTATCTCGGATTTCTGACCCCTGTTGATTTCCCACAGCAAATGCTTGCGAAAGGAATATTCCCAAGGACATATGTTGGGCCATTCCACAAATGTCCAGTGGACATTCTTGTGATTCTCGGAGCAAAGGGAGAGGCTGGAAAACAGGATGTGTGGAGAAACTCTCGTCACAGGAGCCCGGCTGGGAGCGGCTGGGGCCTGTCCTCTCAGCCGTCTCCAGAGTGGCGCGGGACTCCCCAGCTCCGCCGATGGCCGTGGTGAAGCTCTGCCAGGGCCGAGTTCTCAGCTGTGTGGACACGGTGTGTTGCAACAGACCTTCCCTAGAACCTTGTTCCTGCTGCAGTGTAGGAGGTGTGATTAAGACATCTCCATTTAAAAATGTATTACAGTAAAAGACGCCTTTCCATTAATCCCTCAAAATACTTCCTCTCACTTGGAACACACTTATCCTGTCGTTCTTGCCACTTTCTGAAGCAGCCCTGGAGTCCTTTTTCATTACTGTCTTTACAAAGTGTGTTCAAAAGTGTGGCAAATGTGCTTGCTGACAGTCATCTGACAGAAAAGTGGCTCAGAAAATCACGACGCTGTGTCCCCAGGCACCTTACTCACCGAATCTGGTACCGTGCAACTTCTGGCCCTTTCCCAAAGTCAAAATGACCCGGAAAGGTAAACAGTTTGAGCTGATTCAGGGCACCAAGGCAGCCAGGACCACGCAACTAAAGACATTTTTTAAAGAGGACTTGCAGAACTGCCTCGGAAGGTGGCAAGGATGATGGGAAATGTGTGCTCAAAGCAAGAGGGAGTATTTTGAGGGGGAAATAATGGCAATGTGTCTCTTATTATAATAATTTTTAAAACATTTTAAACATTCACCATATGTGTCGATCACACATAGTATGTAGCTTAGCATGAGACAAAAATAAATTTCTGCTTTCGCCTGGGTATCCTTGCATCTGTCTGGCAAACACAATTCTGGGAGTCACCTGCTTCCCTGTTCCCATGTGTCCCTTTTGAAAGACTCTGCAGTACAAGTTCCACCTTCTAAGTTTCTGTCTTGCTCACCATCTCCCTTCTGTGTGCGCTCTGTCTGCACATCTGAGCTGCACATTGCTGGGTGTGGTGAACTCAACATCCGGTGCAATAAACCGGATTCCTAAATTGCAATCGAACACTCCCCCACCATCACAGGTTGGAATTGTGTTAGAAGCCCTAAGCTTTTGATGTAGTTTGTCAGTTATTTTATTTACTTGGCCCAAGTCAATACATTTTGGATTTCCGTGAGCCTATTTTGAAACTTTTAAGGAATTTTATTAAAATTCTAGGATTGGGCCTCTTTTTGAATGGGAAGTGTTGGATGCTGCGCTGTGAGTGACTTTGGAGACTGCACATAGCAGGTCTGGGTTCTGGACTGATACACCCTGTTCCTCTGCTGCTTCTGACTGGAGGATCTTTGTTCTGAGGTGGAGGAATTTTCAAGAAAGGTCTGGATCTTGCTTCCTCCTGGCCAGGTTTTCCTCTCTGTATCCTTCAAGTCTAGTTGCCTCGCCCAGGCCAGAGCCCTAGGCATCAGCCTAGGCCATTGACAGTGAACCTTTCAGAGCTTTAAATGCTACAAACAGCCTGATGCAGCATGAGGACCACATGTTTGCCACAGCTGGCCTAGGCTGGGGCTTGGCTTCCTTGGAGGAGTCCTCTGTCTTCCAGTTTTATTGCATTAAAAAGCAGTGTTTGATCACTGAGAAAAATTTAAATCTGGAGAGAGACCTGAGAAGGGGCCAGGTGGGCCCCAAATCCCAGGGCCCTCGTACTTTTGGGAAGGGCTCCTCAGCTAAGGGGCAGGGCACATGTTACTCTTTGTATCTAGTCATCTCTCCAAAGCCTCATGCTCTCATATTTGGGGCTTTGAGAGGTGACTGCATCTGGGTGTGATACTGGATTCGTCCTCTGATGAGCTTATAGCTAAATGTGGTGGGGAGAGGTGAAGCTGGGTGGGAGGAGGTGGTCCCTGGGAGTGTGGTCTGGAAGGGTCGATCTCCCTCCTCCTCCACTGAGCTCCTGCTGCTACGCCATGAGCTGCTTCTCCTGTGCCATGCTGAGCTTCCTTGGAGCCAGCTGACTATGGACTGAAACCCCTACAAATTGTGAGCCAGAATAGCCTTTTTCTCCTTACAGTTGTGGGTGTTTGGTATTGTGTCTCCACTATGAGAAAGTAACTAAGATAGCATAGAACCAAATATTATGCTGAAGACTTAAAGTTTAATACAATTTCCCATGCTGGGTATAATGGTTTGGGTCCAGATGGCCCCCAAAGCCTCATGTGGTGATAGGATTTATCTAGAGTGTGTGAAGCTGGAACTGATTCATGATGCAATGCTAGGCTCAAGGGCACTAGGGTTAAGGGTGTGAGTGCTGCCACCCTAAGCAGTCTGAATGAGATAAAAGGGGTGGGGAGACGCTGTTAACTCTCTTGTTACCTTTGCTGCCTTGTGTGTACCATGTTCTTTCTGCTCTGCCATGCCTGTTAATTTGCTAGGAGAAGCTTGCTGCAGATGGTTTACCTGATGCGAACTAGGCTGTTCTCATCAGGGGAGGAGCTCGAGACCTCACTGTCCCTGGGAATGGCTGCTGCTTTCATCAGGGGAGCTCTGATCTTCACTGTGAGCATCACTTCCTGGCTCCAATGTGGGTCCCTCAGCTTGGTGGCAGAAATCCTTCATCACACCAGCGTAGATTTTTCTGGGTTCCACCACTAGCCTTTGGGCCTTCCAGGTACAGATATGGACAAGCATGAGACATTGCCGTGGGCTCTGGGCCACTGGATGGACTCGAGGAGGACATTACCTTGGACTGTAGGCCTTCAGCTGGACTTATGTGGGAAACTGCTGGGATCTAGGCCCTCAGTTGAATCCTTTGGGCTTCTAGTGTGTGGTTAATCTCTTGCACTCCTTTGCATTTGACTCTTTGGGTAATTATCATCAAATAACCTTATAAGTTATGTGTCCTGTATTTAATATATTCCCTTGCTGAATCCTTCTCACTGCAACACTTGGGTTTGAATTTGTTGGGGACCTGTCATGCTTTCTTCTGACTCCTCCCTCTTGGCATGGAGGTGTCTGTCTTCTATCTGTCCCACCACTGTGTTCTGAAAGCTAGTAACTTACCTGGTTTCACAGGTTCACAGCTGGAGAGGAGTATTGTCTCAGCATGAATCGTACCTTGGAACCCGACTTAGGTCTGCTTTAGAGCATAGCGGGATGAGATTTTGGAAATTAGAGTTTCAACTTGCTGTCAACTTTCCTTAAAGTGTGCTCCAGTCTGTGTATCAGATTGAATCTAAAGAAATCTTCACAGAATGAAAAGTGCTATTCACTCGTAGAAGAACTGTAAGATAAACTCTTTTCTCTGGGCAACACTTGACAGTATCTATTTTCAGGTCTTCACTTCTAAAATCTCTTAGAAAGGCAGTGATTGTGCTTGGGACTCTTCTGAGTAGATGGGTTGAGTATAAAAATGAACATATATTTTGCAGGTGTGGGTGCTGATGAGTGGTTACAGAGTTGCTTCCTTTGGGTCACTTGAGGAATCTAGAGAGGTCCCGCTCGGCTGTGGTGTTGTGGCCAGGGCTTGGAGCTGCTCATCCTTCTGAGATGATTCCAGGAGATGAATGCAGGGTCAGGGGCCCAGAAAACCATAAGATGTTGGGAAACTTGCCATAGCTTTGCTTCAAACCAATCTTTCAAATTAGATTTGCAGAGGCGTCTTTTTCGCAGCAGGGGAGTTGGAGGATTACGGGCCGCTTGTACAGTATGTGTTACTCTAATGACCCTTCTCCATTTAACAACTTCAAAGAGTCATAAACACAAGGCTCTCATTGGTTTTCCATGTGAGGCACAAAGCCAGCCACGCAATTTCAGTGCCGAACCCTGATGAGGAACAGGTCTGGAAACAGATTGACTCTGCTCTGGTTTGGAACTTCATCCAGAGGAACCTCTGAAGTCTCCTGTTTGGGCACAGAATTCGAGGAATAAGTTTAGCACAGGCTTTCAAAGGAACTGTCCTCCACATAGGCCTAAGGACTTTGGATGTGTTGGTAGCATACAGCCACACATCCCCTGGGGTGGGGTAGTCCTCTTCTTCATTAATCAACACAATGAGCTCAATCAGTGATTTTGCTGTGTAGGCCTCATGGGACACTGGTCTTGTCAGCGACTTCAGATCAAGGAAGTGGTTCCTGGTGTTTCTCACGTCCTTCGGTCTCGGATGGACAAGAGCCATCCTTGTCACTGATGCCGATTTCTTCTTTCCACATTCCAAGCTCTGTGTCTTTCACTCCCAAGTTCTTGTGGTTCCTACTCCATCTAGTTTTCTCCCACTTCTTCCACATTTTCCTCCTTGTTTTTTTCCCCTCCGAAAACACACTCAGTCCTTTCCTTCCATACACATGGTCTTCTGAGTCCTGAGTCCCTTGAAGGCTGAAGCTACTACCATAATATCCTTTCACTGTTGAAAGCCCAGGCATCTTTCTTACTGATTTTGCATTCTCTGAACAAACTCTAGAAACTTCTTCATAAAGATCGCTCATGTCATCTTGGTTGTCAGATACAATAAAGTTTCTTTATTTCTTTTTCTACGTGAGATTCCCCCTGTACACTCTTGCTCTTGTAATCACAGGTCCTAAACAATGTGCTCTCTGTTCTCAGCAGAGGACCCTGTAATGCTTGATCTCAGGTGTCTCCCAGGTACATGTGCTGAAGGTCTGGTCCTCAGCCTGCATTGCTACAGGGAGGTGGCAGAGCCTGGAAGAGGGGTGACTTCGTGGGAGTAAGGCTGGCCCTGGGGTGCTCTTGACGGGGAGGCTGGGGCTCTTTGCTGTCTCGTTTTGCTCCTTGGCTGCTATAAGGTGAGCAGATTCCTATGCCATGCTGCAGGCCACAAGCAAAGGGGTCAGTTGACCATAAACTGAAATTCTGAAGCCGTGATCCAAAGTACACCTCTCTTCTTTTTAAGTCGATTTATCTCAAGTATTTGTCACAGTAATAGAAAGCTGACTAATACAGCGCAGTTGTAGGTCTGCTTTAGATCAGTCCAGAGCAGCAATCCAGAATGCTCTGAAGCTGCCTAGAGCAGCAGCCTGGAGCTGAGGCCAGAGCCCAGTGCTTTGGTGACCTGAGAATGTCACTGCGAACTTCTGTGCCTGCTCCCGTAAGGGGCTAATAATCACCATGGGCCTGCACGTGCTGATGTATGGTGAGCCTGTCCAGTCCCCAGGGTGCAGTAGGTACATGTATGCTTGCTGTGATTCACTGTTCCTCTTATTTCTAGTCTCAGCCCACTTCCATCTGGTCAGATACCTTTGGGGCTTGTAGGAGTTAGGCACAGGCTTGCTGCTTTTTCCCCATCACACTGCATGCAGGTGAACATTCTTTGTCCCTCTTTACCCCCAGTGACCCAGTATTTAGTTCTGCAGAGAGAGCTGTTGGGATGAGTAGCCAAGTCTGGCCCTCGACACACGGATCTGAGGTGGACCTCGGTGGAGATTCTGACCATAGACCTGGTGCAAAGAGAGTGTCCTCCTCATCCCCTTCAGTAGCAGCATCCCATCTACTTTTCTGAAAACATAAACCTTCAGCATTAACCTCGGACAGCACGGCAAGGTTCTCCTGAAGACCTCAGATGTGGCTAATGCTTGTGGACCATCGCGCTCTTCCAGTGTTATTTTGTACAAGTCTCACCTCAGTTCTGTTGGTGGCCGTTGTTTTCCATTCACATGAA